TCAAGTCTCCAAACCGATTTCAATTTTAGTCTAACCAAAACTTCTAAACCGATTGAATATAGTCTTTAATTTTCCCACCAAAAATGTGAATACACAATTTTCCCATCAAAATATAAATTCGTGATTTCCCGCCAAAAAACGTAAATCTGCAATTTTACCGCCAAAAACTTAAATCCGTAATTTTCCCGCCAAATTTTTTTTTATAATTTTTAACCAAAACCAAAAATATGTAATTTTCCCGCCAAAAACGTAAATCCGTGATTTTCCCGCCAAATTTTTTTATAATTTTTAACCAAAAATGAGAACGTAAAATTTTCCCGCCAAAAACTTAAATCCGTAATTTTCCCGCCAAAAACGTAAATCCGTAATTTTCCCGCCAAAAACGTAAATCCGTGATTTTCCCGCCAAAAACGTAAATCCATGATTTTCCCGCCAAAAACGTAAATCCGTGATTTTCCTGCCAAAAACTTAAACCTGTGATTTTCTCGCCAAAAACGTAAATCTATGATTTTTTCGCCAAAAACGTAAATCCGTGATTTTCCCGCCAAAAACTTAAACCCGTGATTTTCCGCCAATGTTTTATATAATTTTTAACCAAAAATGAGAATGTAAAATTTTTCCGCCAAAAACGTAAATCCGTAATTTTCCCGCTAAAAAGTAAACCAGTGATTTTTCCACCAAATTGTTTTGTAAAATTTTCCCGCCATAAACTTAAATCCATAATTTTTCCGCCAAAAACGTAAATCCGTGATTTTCCCGCCAAAAAATTATAATTTTTAACCAAAAACAAGAATGTGTAATTTTTCCGCTAAAAACGTAAATCCATGATTTTTCCGCCAAATAATATTGATGTTGATGATTATTATTATAATTATTATTATTATTATTATATTTTAACTATTAATTTATTTATTACATTAGTAGATTAATGGGTCAACGGTTGACCATCTACACATAAACCTAACTACCGAAGCCTAACAACCTACCATATATCTCTCTTACCCTCTTATATATTTCTCTGAAACCTAAAGAGAAACCCTAGTTTGTTCTCTCTTTTTCAAAGAAGGAGACGCCGCAGACAACAACTCTCTCTTTCGAATCATTGCAAATCGAAGACAAAGTTTCTTTTGGTGTCTTTAAAACTTATGTTTTGTGGGTATTTTTGAAACTTTGGGTGTCTTTTGACTTAATACTTTCCAAGTTTCTACTATTTTTTAAATTTGTAATAGTATGATGACTAATATGTGATGTTGCATTGCATACTTGCATAATTGCATTTGAATTTTGCATTATAATTCTATTGTTTTTTCGGTTCCAAAAATATTCGAAACAGTTTGGTTCCTACTCGGTTCCAAAATTTATTACCCGAACCGAACCGAACCGAATATGAACCGAACCAGAACTGAACCGATATTGATTTGGTTCCAATATGGTTCCTAAATCTTAGAACCAAAATACTTGGAACCGAATGGTTCGATTCTAGAACCGAACCGAACACCCGAACGCACAGGCCTAGGTCAACCCATTTAACCATCTAACTCATC